AAGCTTTGGCGACCCCTAGTGGGGGTCGAGACCCCAAGGTTGGGAACCAGTGGTCTAATAGGATGATGGCCCAGCGTCAAATAAACTGTGTATTTGTCAAAAGAGAAGCCTATGAAGTCTGTATGATTGTTAAAAATGATAAAAACACAGAATACAGACAGGATTGTATAAAAAGTTCCTAAATAGGAAATAATCTGCTCAAAATTAATCAAATATCTGGTTTTACACAAACTTCACTGTCTGGGTTTATGGTACAGTTTTGAATAATATGAAATATCCATAAAATCTGTCACTGTCAGTTTATTAATGAAAGATATTATACACCAGAAAACCTCTCTGTCATTGGACCTTTACCTCCAGTTGGGGTCAGAAACATAAAGTTTTTGATGTGATGAATAAATAATCAAACAGTATTTGAACCTACAATCACCTGGGAAAGATGAACGCAGCAGAGATACATTTTCAAAGGACGGTGAGTATTCATTTATTTCTGTTCTGATGATAGAAAACGGTGCACGGTTCTCCAGACTCAAAGTTACTGTAGCTCTGAAAGAGAAGAGTCTTTACTGGTTTTATCCCAGTTTAGTTTGGGATTAGAATCAGTTTACAAGTGAATAAAACTTTGTGTGACAAATATTACAAATGAATTCCCTCTGAAATCTTTTTAAAAATAAGGGTAGGCCACTGACTGCAGACTGCACTACCTGAGAAATCCTTTAGACTAATGAACTGATGTATTTACTGAGCAACCATATCTGAGAAAACTAGAAAAAGGGTTGTTGTGTAGAGAAATGTGACAGTCGGCTGTCGTCTGCAAAGAGACGAATTCCTGCCACACTCTTCTACAAAAAGCACAAGATAAAAATATTTTCAGGACTTTATGGATTTCTATAAATGGATGCATTTAATGAAATGAAAGAAAACATCTGTAAAAAATACACTGTAAAACAGCAGCTAGCGGCACGTCTCTGCTCTCTATTGAGTTGCAAAGTTGAAGTTTGAGTTGCCTAACCCTCACCATACCACAGTTAACCACATCACTGCGGATGCCTGAGTAGGTCATTTTGAAACGTTTGCTTTGGTTGCAGTTGACAGTTGTTCTGTTGAAAGTTTCATGTCCAGCTCAGCCCTCGAAGCGCTCAAACATTGACTCTTCAAACAAACCTTCCACTTTACAACTCTACAGTCCCCATTTGTCTTGAGAGCCTGAACAAACTGTAGATTTAGGGCTTTGTTAGCGAGCCAACTCACAATTACTCTTAATGTAGCAAAGCAGATGATGTCAGTGTTAACATACAGCTAGTGGCCACTACTAACGTTAGCTTCTACCACAAACATTACTGCAGCAAATCAGAGGCATTTACGACGGTCACTTATCGAGGGCCACAGACTATTGTTAGCTCGATATCAAGCTGACATCAAAACACAAAATCTGATACATCAATGGCAAAACAATCCATCAAAACACAGCACAGAAATAAATAATGATTCAAATCGGAAGTATAAAAACGGCTAGTTGTTCACAGCTGTTGAGAACCTCCAATATGGCTGCCAGAAGGTGTGTTAGATCAGAAAAAGCCCTTTACACACATTCTGTTTCTGTGAGCTTGTGTTTCAGTTGAATTGAGGGCTAACATGTTCCAGCTCGCTCACCTGCCAACTGTGACTTTGTGCTGTAGAATAAAGTTTCAAACTAGTTCATTTTGTACATTCACAGTTTTAAAACTCACTTAGACAAAGGTATTCGGAGGGTTGGCGTTAGTGGGCCAGGCCACCTTCTTTTCCTTTGCCTCTCCGTCAAATGTATCGTAAACCGAGTCCTTGGCGACGGTCTTTGCTTGCACCGGGATGTCCACCACCCCAATGTAGTTCTTTTTGGCCATCCGAGAGCTCGCCGTGATGGTGTACGCGTTACTGCGGTAGCATTTCATGGAGGACATGCAGAAGGTCTCCCTCATGCCTCTTCTGAAGTTAGCATTGTAGACAGAGTACAGGGTTGGCTTGGACGCCGTGGAGCTGAAGGAAATCCAGGCGATGGCCGTGAAAAACAGCAGTCCCTGCCTACTGGGTCCATCAGACTCCCTCGGGTGCCACAGCTGGGCGATGAAGAAGGGCGTCCAGGTGAGGAAGAAAACTGAATTGAGCATGAGGAACATCTTGATGGTCTTGACTTTAGTCCGTGGGACGATGTTCATTGTCCGGCGTACGGTGTGGCCATCAGCGCTGATCCTCCAGATATAGCGGACCACCCGCTGATAGAACGACATGATCAGAGCCACTGGGACCAAAAATCCAAACAGGAGGTGAATGGCAGCGTAGGTAACACTGCCCCAGCTGTCCGGAAGGAAGAAGTCACAATGACCGCTGGCTGTGGATGTGGAACCATAGAAGAAGAGACACGGTGACACGAAGGCTGCATCAAACAGCCATGAGGCCAAGATCATCTTCTTCGCTTTCTCTCTGGACACCTTGAAGCTGAGGGGGTAAACGATTGTATAGAAACGGTCTACAGAGATGGACAGCAGCACATAGACTTGCACGCCGGGGCACAGATGCTGCAGGTAACGTACGGCCTTGCAGGCGGCGGCGCTCAGTGGCCATCGTCCTGAGGCGACCTGCAGGAGGATGAAGGGGGCGCAACCCAGGCTCATCAGCAGGTCTGCACAGGCCATAGACACCACAAAGTAGTTGGTTGTGGACTGAGTCCGTCGGCTCCGGTGGATGACCAGGCAGACGAGGGCATTTCCCAAGATGGAGACCAGCCAGAGAACCCCAAATACCAAGCCCAGGACGGCGACCTCACCTGAAGTCAGCTCGTAGGAGGCGGAGGTCCTGTTGGGCTCGCCCTCGAGGCTGCAGAGGGGAGTTGTGGGTAAGGTTGCCAGGACAGTTGAGTTTTCCCTCTCAGAGTAGTTAAATGACATCTGATATGTGAAAGATGGAGAGTAAAGCGAGGGATTGACACCAACTGCGTTTGACGACTGTGAATACACCATCGCTATACTGCTGCACCGGAGAGGAGCTGTGGACACACAAACACAGTCTTCATTAGTACCATCAGAAACATTCAGAGACCTCCCCAAAGACTTTACTGGACCACTTCTGGACCCACCCAGAACTTTGTTCAGGTACAATGGTACTAAACCTGGTTGGTCAGTAGGTTGGAAGAGATTTCTGATATCAGAGGAGCTGCTAATTACTGGGTTTGTACGGCTGGTGGAGCTGGATTAACACTGATTGGTTGGTAGTCAGTCGGTAGGTTGGTAGGTACACGGTTAGTTAGTGGGCTGGTTGGTTGGTTGGTTGGTTGGTTGGTTGGTTGATTGATTGGTTGGTTGGTAGGAAGGGTGGTTGGTTGGTTGGTTGGTTGGTAGGAAGGGTGGTTGGTTGGTTGATTGGTTGGTTGGTTGGTTGGTTGGTAGGAAGGGTGGTTGGTTGGTTGGTTGGTTGGTTGATTGGTTGGTAGGAAGGTTGGTTGGTTGGTTAGTTGGAAGGAAGGGTGGTTGGTTGGTTGGTTGTTAGGAAGGTTGGTTGGTTGGTTGGTTGGTAAGTTGGCAGGAAGGGTGGTTGGTTGGTTGGTTGTTAGGAAGGTTGGTTGGTTGGTTGATTGGTTGGTTGGTAGGAAGGGTGGTTGGTTGGTTAGTTGGTAGGAAGGGTGGTGGTTGGTTAGTTGGTAGGAAGGGTGGTTGGTTGGTTGGTTGGTTAGTTGGTAGGAAGGGTGGCTGGTTGGTTGATTGGTTGGTTGGTTGGTTGGTTGGTTGGTTGGTAGGAAGGGTGGTTGGTTGGTTGGTTGGTTGGTTTGTAGGAAGGGTGGTTGGTTGGTTGATTGGTTGGTTGGTTGGTTGGTTGGTTGGTAGGAAGGGTGGTTGGTTGGTTGGTTGGTTGGTTGGTTGATTGGTTGGTAGGAAGGTTGGTTGGTTGGTTGGTTGGTAGATTGGTACGAAGGATGGTTGGTCGGTTGGTTGGTTGGTTGGTAGGAAGGTTGGTTGGTTGGTTGGTTGGTTGGTCGGTAGGTTGGTAGGAAGGGTGGTTGGTAGGAAGGTTAATTGTTGGTATAAAGTGATGTTCTGGCTCTAATAGAGACGGATGCAGGAGGACTGATTGGACCGTTTAAGAAAGTGATCACTGAGCTAGCTGTAGACCACTTTAGATAAAGGAGGCAAACGTTGCTGTTCCTCTTCAGAAATGAGTTCCCGTCAGAGACAGAAACTCTTTCATTGAACACAATGTGGAGATGTTGTTGTCTCTGTATTGAATAATGTCCCTTCATCACTTTATCTAAATATAACCTGCAACGATCGACAGCAGCTCATTCACTGCCTGTGCTGCTGCTTGATTTCATTAATCCTCCACAGGGACCCAGTTTAGAGTCCACAGGGATCCAGGTCTCCTCTGAGGTCCACCATTAAGGATGTGAAGAAGCCCATGGGGCGAAATCTCTTGTGTTTACTCTGCTGGATTTCCCCATAGCAACCACATCCATCCCAGTGATCAGGAGAACCACTGACAGTTACAGGTACGTATTTAATACACCTATACACAGAATATTAGATACACTCTCTTATAATCATCAATTATTAACAATTATAAATTATTAAAACAATTATCAGTTATTATCAATGTATAAAATAATAAACTATCAATAAATTAATCAATCAGTAACAGAAAAAAACACAACTTTATAAATATTGTCTGGTTTCCCTCTGAAGCTGCTCTGACTCCGCTCTGCTAACTGTAGCTGCTGTTAGCTAGGATTCTTTAGTATTTAGATGCAACTCCCTCGCTTCACCCTCACCTTACAAACTACTGTAGAAACATGGACTATATTATATTATATTATATTATAATGTTACAATAATGTTATATTATATTATATTATATAATATTATAATAATGTTATATTATATTATATTATAATAATGTTACATTATATTATAATGTTACAATTATTTTATATAATATTATAATAATGTTATATTATAATGTTACAATAATGTTACAATAATGTTATATTATATAATATTATAATAATGTTACATTATAATATTATAATAATGTTATATTATATAATATTATAATAATGTTATATTATATTATAATGTAACAATAATGTTATATTATATAAAATTATAATAATGTTAAATTATATTATATAATATTACAATAATCTTATATTATATAAAAATATAATAATGTTACATTATATTATATAATATTACAATAATGTTATATTATATTACATTATATAATATTATAATAATGTTACATTACATTATATAATATTACAATAATGTTATAATATTATATTATATTGATGTTTTTACACACTGGAGCTTTAATGTGAAATAAAACTATATAATTGTAGTTATTATTGTAACTATAATTATAATATAAAATCAGCTGATCTCAGTAAAGAGTTAAACACTGCGGACCAGAAGCAGAAGATTCTGAGTGTCACTGTAACTGAAATCAGGAGCCTTTAATAAATAATAATAATAATAATAATAATAATAATAATAATAATAATAAAAAACTGCTCTCTGAGCTCCAAGTAACAACAACAGCCTTTAATGGGATTCATTAGAAACATCCAGCTCACATCCTCACCACTGATTCTTCATCTGCAGCCGTAAACATGTTTATTCCGACCAGCAGAAAACAAACAAACAAACAAACAAATAAACAAATAAATGCGCCGTCGCTGCCACAGAGAATCAGAGCAGCATCAGGCCTGGACAACATGTCTGCTCCTGCATCCATCCGGTGGGTCTGGAGGAGCCATCAAACCTCCATTACATATGAATAACAATCACCATCATAATAATAATAATAATAATAATAATGATAACGATGATGATGATGATGATGATGATGATAATCACATGAATAAACCGTACAGACTGTAAGAATAAGAGCGGTTTCCCTCCCGGAGCTCTGCAGCTTTTCAACCCGCAGATCGGAGCTCAAACCTCCGCTCGCAGCCTCCGGAGTGTCGACGGTAACGAGGCCGACAATGAGGCGTGTTTCTGGGGGTAAATGTGGGATATTCACGGGGAAACTCACCGGTTCACAGCCGAGCAGCGAGAGACGCTTCATGGTGTTTGTCCGCGATCCACTGGAGGAGGAAGAGGAGGAGGAGGAAGAGGAGGAGGAGGGAGAGGAGGAGGAGGGAGAGGAGGCAGATATCATGGTCGCTCTGTCCGTCTACCTGTCTGTCTGTCCGTCCACCTGTCTGTCTGCTCGGAGCTGAGGAGGAAGAATCTGCAGCTGATGAAGAGGAGGATGTCCCCCCCCCCCGATCAAATACTTTATACAATTATTACATTTAAATTTAGAAATTTAAAATACAAATACAATTATTAATAGTAATAAATCTAATTAAATGTTATTTTATTTAAAAGCTTTATTTTAAAGCTAATGTTAGTCCTAAAATGGCCTCCGTACAGAGGAGCCGCTCTGCTGCTGTAAAATATAAGAAGATAAGTTTATTGATCAGTTTATTGATCAGTGGTGATTTCAGCCTGTTGGGGGCACTAGAGTGTCAGTCTGTTTTTATTTATTGTTCCGCTCGGTTTGGTTTTATTATCTCAATAATTCAATCATATATTTATTATTATTATTATAATTATTATTATTTTCAGGCTCATTTCTCTCCTCCGGGTGGATCAATGATCAGTTATTGATTGATTATTGGCTCTGCAGTGTGTGTTCACTCTATGAAAGGAAACAATGGCGTCCATCTACACTTACTGCTCTGATGCTGACGAGGGTTGCTGTCGCAGCACGTCGCCATGGCAACCGCAGCAACGAGGAGACGTGATTTTCCAACAGGCCGGTTGCTATGGGAACCAACAATGGTGCTGATGGGAGGGAGGAGAGCTGAAGAGTCTGTTTGTTACAGTAAGAACAACATCAGGACCCTCCAATGTACGGAGGCTAATTTCAGCCAAAAACTGCTGCTGAGACAAAAATGATTGAGATAATTGAGTCATTAAAATTAAATAATTTAATAATAATAAACTTAAATCAAAACTTTGAAAGTCGTGATTTTGAACCAGGTCAAAATTAAAAGAAAATTAAGTCAGTATATTTAAATTAATTAACCTTTTGATCTGTGATCTTTTTAATTTGCTAATCTCATCATTTGGATTTATCACAACTTTTTTATTTTTTTATACATTTTTTTTAAATTTTCCTTACAGAAATTAGTTTCCACATAAACATAATCATCCTATCAACAATTAAGAAGCAGAAAAAAATGATTTAGATTTAATGAACAATAAATATAGTTTCTAACTTTTAATTAACTATTTTATTTCTTGGTGGCCCCAGTACATCTACAGTTTATAAAATGTTTACAGAGAATTTAAAAAGTGACTTTCTGCAAACTGCTGAAAACTCTTCTTTTTTTTTAGCTGTATGTCACTTTATTTCTGTCGTGATATATCTTCCATACACAAGCTAACTTGACCTCTGATTGTTTATTCAAAAGCTGGCTGGAAAAACAGCCCTGATTGGACGAGAGCGAGTGATCACCTGACAGGAAGGTGAGATACATTATGAGCATGTATGGAAGCTCACTGCTGCCAAAAAAAAACAGTCAAAGAAGATTCTTTCAGAATAACAAAATAAATAAAAATTTGGTTCTTTAGCTTTTGTATTAATTTTAATCTATTGTCAACATTTAGACTTGAGATTAGATTTAATGCGTTCAGTTCATCTTGTAATTTTAATTTAGCAATTCAATATTTAGCTTTTTCTCTTTTAAATTGGAAAAAAGTTCTGGAATGGCGCCGGCGACAACGGCAGCCTGTCATGGCAGCTCCTATCATTGTTGTAGTTTTAGTGTGTTTTCAGTGTGTTTTTAGCCTGTGTTTGTTTCTATTTTTAACTGTTTTCTTACTTTCACTTTTTATTTTTTGTTTGCACAGGTCTCCATGGCGACGGGGAGTCGCATTGTTTACACCCGCGACCAGATGATCGGCACCCGAGCATCCTGACTGGAGAGAGACCCTCCATACCGGAGGAGCTGAGGAGGAGACGTTAAATGGATGATGAAGAAGAGGAGGTTTAAACTAGGGCTGGGCGATATGGACCAAAAGTCACATCCCGATATATTTAAGCTGAATATCGATATACGATATATATCCCGATATTTTTTCCAAAAAGTGAGAGCAAATGTTCAGGCTCCTCTCTCTCTCTCTCTCTCTCTCTCGCTCTCTGTCACACACACACACACACACACACACACACACACACAGGGCCGGCCCAAGCCTCCATGGGGCCCTAAGCAAAATTAGATTTTGGGGCCCTCTATTACTGCCACGTGTCTTTTTGGGAATGTGAATGTGTCCTTTATAGCAGTGGCCCTCTTAATACCTGTTCAGTCCTTTCTGAGTCTGACAGGAAAGAGGGACACTCAGCTGGGTCAACTGGCGGAGCTGCTGATCCCTGCTCCAAACTGGATCCTGAAGAAGACACATCAATCTCCATGACCAAAGATGAAGGACCTATAGGGAAATTAAAATAATATTTTTGGACAAATTTATTCATCTCAGAATATTCTGCAGTACACCGAGCAATTATAAAGGTTGTTCTGTTGTTAACTTACCAGGTACAGCTGAGGTTGCAGAGAGGACAGTGGGCACAGTGGATGGAGCAGAGGATAGAGATGGACCTGAGATGAAAAACATGTCCCTTGTCATATGATTATATCTTATATTAGTATATCTTCATGAGATAATTTGACTAGAAAAGAAATATATATGGTGACAGTGTTTGATCACCTGATTCATCAGCCTTGGCTGCTCCTGAGGAGGTGGATTGCCCCTGGGCTGAGTCAGTGCCTCCTCCTAAATACTTTAACAGTGCTCCTGGGGAAGTTTCATATAACGTATGAGCACAATAGGGAGTTGATGTAAAAGTAATATGTTTATTTACTCACATAAATTACTGTGCTCTGCAGCAAACAATTGCAAACAACATACCTCAAACTATAAGTTAACTAAATGAATTCATTAATGTAAAACCATATTGCTAGCAAACGTCACCGCGTTTGTAATTAACGTTAGTTATTAAACATTTGCTATCAAACGTTATCAAAAACGTTGTTTTGATGCCAAAAAGCGACCCAAAATAATATAAATACACTGAGAATCAACTTATTCAAAGTATTACACAAACACAACAACGTTAGCTTGAATAGTAAGTTATCTAACCTATATAATCCTATCTAACCTATATAATCCTATATAATCCTATCTAACCTATATAATCCTATATAATCCTATCTAACCTATATAATCCTATATAATCCTATCTAACCTATATAATCCTATCTAACCTATATAATCCTATATAATCCTATCTAACCTATATAATCCTATATAATCCTATCTAACCTATATAATCCTATCTAACCTATATAATCCTATATAATCCTATCTAACCTATATAATCCTATATAATCCTATCTAACCTATATAATCCTATATAATCCTATCTAACCTATATAATCCTATCTAACCTATATAATCCTATATAATCCTATCTAACCTATATAATCCTATACAATCCTATCTAACCTATATAATCCTATATAATCCTACCTAACCTATATAATCCTATCTAACCTATATAATCCTATCTAACCTATATAATCGTATATAATCCTATCTAACCTATATAATCTGTAGGACCTTGTCCTCGTCTTCCTCTACAAGAGACGCTTTATCTGTCTCTTAATTCAACAATCATCATATTATTTTGATTTTGTTCCACCAGGAGAGTTTTCAAGGCCTCTTCTTTCCCTTTGACCTTTTGACCCAGGAGGGGAGGTGAGACTGTGGCGCCGACAGTCTCCTGCACAGAGAGCCTGGTTCTTTTCAGATTCTCAGATGGGATCTCTAAGGTGTCAATATGTTTTATCCTCTTTAACAGAACACTGACTTCTCCACAGATCAGAACGACACCCTACACCTAAAGTGGATCGTGTGTGATAACATAAATGCCTTTTTGATTGTAAATCAGGGTTAGATATCCCTGAAATGTGTTTACATCTCTTTTAGTCTGACAGGTCCACCTCCAGAGAGAAACTCCTCTGGAATCCACATCTGGCATTCTGACACCCCTTCCTCTAAAGTGTGAATTACGATGTTTTCTGTTGATAGTGGACATTCCAATCTAGGAAGCAGTAACAGCAGTTGCACAGATATAGATTTAGTTCTGTTGGAGTATTATGGTAAAATTTAATCTCCTCCTAATTAACAGATTGCCATCCAGCATGAGAAGGACGCAAATGTAATGTTTGTCTGATGTTTCTGTCTTCAGATTGGACTAAGTTACAAAATCATGTGTAAAATGTCTGAATGTTTGATGGAGCCACAGTGCCACCTTTTGGTAAGGTTCTGGTATAGCGTAAGGTACTTTCAAAACGAACTTTGTTTGATAACTGTATAGTAATACAATAAGTAAATGCCTGACACATATTTGTTATAACAAGGATTAAGCTAGCACTATACGAAATATGTACAGTCCATCAGTGCTGTTTTATGTGCGTGTTTAATGATTAATGATTAAATGACTTTAATCAGTTCCACTTTTCTTTTACATTAAGTAATTTCGGTTATGTTATGTTAAAACATGTGAACTATGTATTAAGTCATGGTGGGTTCTGTGAACGGTGAATTATGATCTCGAAACTTTAAAACACGATAGGAGTAAGTTGATAAAGTTACGTATATCAAATTATCATCAGAGGAAGTAACGCGCGCGGTCAGCTCCTCTCGTCCAGTTCCGCCTCCAGAATAAAAGCTATAAGAGATAGACTCCGGTCACTCTTCACTCTTCTCTTCGCTCTCGCTTTTCTTCTCTCTCTTGTATCCACTCGTTATTTATTCGCATTTTTTCTTTAATTTCCGTACTTTATTTTACTTCGTTTGCGACACGTGTTGAATTTTTCCTCAAGTAATAACTTGCCGTGCTGAAGTACTTTTCAAGTACTTTTATTTTGAAAGCTCAAGACACAAACGAATTTCTTCTTTTATCTTTTTGTAGTCTTATATATAAGATATATAATATATTATATATATATCGTCAAGTATTGTCGCCTTTTCACAGAAAGTGAATTTAATCAAATTCTTGGACTTTCTTGGAGAATTCTCCAGCCCAGCGTTTCATCCTGCAGTTATTTTTAAACAAGAAGCTGAATGAGTTTACAATCAAAGCTGAAGACCAACCACTCTAAGACATTTATCATCAGCCAGAAGGACGTTGCAGTAGTTCACTGCTCGAGAAGACGTATAAACGTTTCCAGCCGGACAAAGACATTATTCTCCAGCCACCTTGCCCCCAACGCTCACTAGCGCACACAGCTGGGCCTTTTGGAGAGATTGCCACTGGAACCAGGGACTACAACTCCCTTCAGCCTGTTGGATCAGTGACACAAAGCCGCAGTTGAGCTGAAAGCCAAGGACCTGGAATCCTTCCAAGTTCCATCTACAAACAAAGTAGGCTGACTCTCCGGTACACGGCCGGATTCACACACATGAAGAAGAGCTGGTGTCTGTCTGTAAGCTTTGATTCCCATCTTTTAGTTTAAGAGAATTTTGGATTAGGGCCTCTCAGTTCTAAAATTTACTCTCGTAATATTTTAAACTTACTGCCGCATCGCAAAATCCACCATCGCTCCTGAATCACCTAATAGTAATAATTCATATATTGTCCACATATTCTGTTACTTGTTGTCATTTGTTTGTTTATCATATCATGCTATTTACTCTGCATTAGTTTAGTTAATAAACATATATAACCGTATGTCCTTGTTGGTGCAGGTTTGATTTGATGCGGGGAAATCGATGAATCGTGTAAAAGAAATCACTACTTCAGAAATATGAGATTAAATATAGATTTTGAAACTTAATAAATTGATTTAAAATTGATTTGATTAGATCGGCGGAATAATTTCCTCCGGATTATTCCAGTTGCTAAACAAGGAGGTGGTGCCCCATTTACGAGTGTATTATTAATCACTAGTGATTAAATACTAATAATAATGAAAAAGTAGTGTATCCCCTACAAATCCTATCTAACCTATATAATCCTATCTATCCTATATAATCCTATCTAACCTATATAATCCTATATAATCCTATCTAACCTATATAATCCTATCTAACCTATATAATCCTATACAATCCTATCTAACCTATATAATCCTATATAATCCTATCTAACCTATATAATCCTATCTAACCTATATAATCCTATCTAACCTATCTAACCTATATAATCGTATATAATCCTATCTAACCTATATAATCCTATCTAACCTATATAATCCTATCTATCCTATATAATCCTATCTAACCTATATAATCCTATATAATCCTATCTAACCTATATAATCCTATATAATCCTATCTAACCTATATAATCCTATCTAACCTATATAATCCTATATAATCCTATCTATCCTATATAATCCTATCTAACCTATATAATCCTATATAATCCTATCTATCCTATATAATCCTATCTAACCTATATAATCCTATCTATCCTATATAATCCTATCTAACCTATATAATCCTATATAATCCTATCTAACCTATATAATCCTATCTAACCTATATAATCCTATACAATCCTATCTAACCTATATAATCCTATATAATCCTATCTAACCTATATAATCCTATCTAACCTATCTAACCTATATAATCGTATATATAATCCTATCTAACCTATATAATCCTATCTAACCTATATAATCCTATCTATCCTATATAATCCTATCTAACCTATATAATCCTATATAATCCTATCTAACCTATATAATCCTATATAATCCTATCTAACCTATATAATCCTATCTAACCTATATAATCCTATATAATCCTATCTATCCTATATAATCCTATCTAACCTATATAATCCTATATAATCCTATCTATCCTATATAATCCTATCTAACCTATATAATCCTATATAATCCTATCTAACCTATATAATCCTATATAATCCTATCTAACCTATATAATCCTATCTAACCTATATAATCCTATCTAACCTATATAATCCTATATAATCCTATCTAACCTATATAATCCTATATATCCTATATAATCCTATCTAACCTATATAATCCTATCTAACCTATATAATCCTATCTAACCTATATAATCCTATCTAACCTATATAATCCTATATAATCCTATCTAACCTATATAATCCTATATAATCCTATCTAACCTATATAATCCTATCTAACCTATATAATCCTATATAATCCTATATATCCTATATAATCCTATCTAACCTATATAATCCTATCTAACCTATATAATCCTATATAATCCTATCTAACCTATATATTCTTCATCATCATCATCATCATCACTGTCTATATTCATCACAGTGGTCTTCATCATCATCATCATCATCACTGTCTATATTCCTCACAGTGGTCTTCATCATCATCATCATCATCACTGTCTATATTCATCACAGTGGTCTTCATCATCATCATCATCATCACTGTCTATATTCCTCACAGTGGTCTTCATCATCATCATCATCATCATCACTGTCTATATTCCTCACAGTGGTCTTCATCATCATCATCATCATCATCACTGTCTATATTCCTCCGTTTGGGAAAGCAGAAGCAGCGTGTGACATCATCCACACTGTGACCGCAGGACTACAAACGAAACACCCGGAGGCCTTCATCATCATCATCATCACAGGGGACTTCAACCACGTTTCTCTCGTCCACACTCCCAACCTTCCACCAGTTTGTCACATGCACCACCAGAGACAATAAGACCATGGACCTGCTGTATGCAAATGTTCCTGTTTTTATATCTGTATTTATTTCCCTCAAATGTTGCTGTGACAAGTGAATTTCCCCATAGTGGGATTAATAAAGTTATCTATCTATCTATCTATCTATCTATCTATCTATCTAAATAGAGCCTCTATGGAGGACCACAAGGGTGACAGAAATTGAATACAGCATTTCATTAATTAATAACTTTCACAATAAAAAAAAGGCATTTAACGAATGTGTTAAATTAATTCATCTTTCTGATGAATGATCAACAGATTAATTCATAATGAAAATAATCGTTATATAAGGATGTTTACAGAAGCTCACGTCTGCCAAGAAAATAAAAATATAATAGAAAATAAAAACACAGTGAAACAAAATAATCAAACAGTAAAAAGTGAATTATAATTCCAAACTTCATTTTGTGTTTAATTATCTTTATTTAAATTATTTAAGAAATTGTAAGTGTGATGTGCAAAACTAATTATTGGAGGCACAGATTTAAATAACTTTATAAGTAAAATAGTTATATATATTTTTAAAATCTAAAGTCTAAACTTTGATTTTGTATCATAAGTCTGATTCATCACAGTATTTAATCATTTATAAATATAAATTAATAATCATTTATACTTTACATTAATTGATTTATACTTTTATAAAGTGTAATAATTTCAGTACACTAGTGATCTCGTCCTGTCGACCTTCACACACAGCAGATAAACACAGACAGTTTAAAGATATTTTCTTTATTTTCTTTATTTACACGTTTTTCAAACAAACATTCTGAACGTTGTTTATTGACAATAAAAACAAAAATGTGAAGAGTAAAAGATGAAGATGAGGAGGAGGAGGGAGGTATTTCTGTCTGAGAATATATGACGACATGAAACAGGAAACAAAGCCCATTGATTACTGATCGGCCTGAGTATAATAAATAAACGTTAGACTCGTTAACAGTCTTTAATTAACGAGTTAAAACCAAATAAAAATATTTGACTTTAAGGGTTTTTACCTCCCGGATACGTTTGAATTCATGCAGGAAACCGATTACAGACATTCGTTCATCACAGTTCAATCATTATAATCCCTGAAATACCCCTAATTAACCCCTAATTAAACCTTAATTAAACCTTAATGAACCCTATATGTGTTGTCAGGTCAATTACAGGTTCATTAATGACTTCCGGAGCGTTTCACTGCGAGCTTCGTGTTACTGTCTCGTTATTTACAGGATAAACACTGAATATTTACAGGCCGCAGATGTCCTTCAACCCCTCAGACCTCCGTCCAGAGTCAGAGTCCCGAACCTGGAGGACAAACAGTCGCAGGTTAACGTCACTCGCTTCTGTAGCCCCGCCCACTCAGAGTGGAGGGGGCGTGGCCTCTAGTGGCAGCGTTGTAGCTCAGTGTGAACAGTTTTGTGCTAAGCTAGGCTCACGGTGTGTTTACCTCTCTAAGAAGTGGTTGTTCTCTGCCAGCTCCTTGACGACTCCCTCCATCTCCTCCTTCAGCTTCTTCATCCTAAAACAGATTATTATTAATAACTAATCTATATATTTATCTATTGATTTATCCTCATTGATTGTTTTTGTTATTTATGCTGATTTCTTCATTTAGTCCTTTCACTTTATTAAATATAATCAAATATTAAATATTATTAAAAATAATCAAATATTAAATATAATCAAATATTATTACATATAATAAAATATTAAACATTATTAAATATTAAAATATATTAAACATTATTAAATATAATCAAATATTAAATATTATTAAATATAATCAACTATTAAATATAATCAAATATAATCAAATATTATTAAATATTATATTTAATAAAATTGTTATAAATATTAGATAAATATTATTAAATATGATTAATTATTAACTATAATCAAATATTATCAAATATTAAAAATATATATATTATTAAATATTTAAAAAAAATAATATTAAATATTTCAAAAATATAATATTATTAAATATTATTGTTCTTCCTGTAAAATACATTTTGTCTCATTATCGTCTGTCAATCATTTTTCACTGATATACTTTCAGTTTATTTTGTGTGTAAAATGATGAAGATGAAGATGATGAAGGCCTCACCCCAGGGTCATCTCCACCAAGGTGTTCTGGCTCAGGTAGGCTTGAGGCTTCATCCCACTGGACACCAGAGGAAGAACCTTCTGAGGCAGCTGTTCCTGCAGCTGGACACACACACACACACACACACACACACACACACACACACACACACACACACACACAGTCAGGGTCTGATGGTCTACTCTGGGTCCTGGTCTACAGGAATCCGTACTGTACCTTGATGGCTCTCTCCATCAGCATGGTGACCTCCTTCTCTATGCTGATCAGCTGAGCCGACAGACCGAGCTGCTGCTTCCTCACGTGATGAACCTTCCTGCAAACACAGACGCTGTCGCTAGGCAACAGAGACCACTTCCTGTCTGTGAGGAGGAGGAGGAGGAGGAGGAGGAGGAGGAGGAGGAGAAAGAGAAAGAGGAGGAGGAAGAGAAAGAGAAAGAGAAAGAGAAAGAGGAGGAGGAGGAAGAGGAAGAGAAAGAGGAGGAGGAAGAGAAAGAAGAAGAAGAAGAGGAGAAAGAAGTTGAAGAAGTAGAAGAAGAAGAAGTAGAAGAAGTAGAAGAAGTAGAAGAAGAAGAAGAAGAAGAAGAAGAAGAGTCTGTACTCACCTCATCCACTCTTCACTCTTGGAGATGAAGAGTCTGTATTTCATGGCACATTCCTCAGTGAACAGAGAACGAGCTTTACTGGCATGAAGGACCAACTTCTGTCTGTAACACACACACACACACACACACACACACACACACGCACACACACACGCACACACACGCGCACACATACAAACACACACACACACACACACAGGCACACACACACACACACACACACACAACCACACACACACACAGGCGCACACACACACACATACAAACACACACACACACACACACAGGCGCACACACACATATACACACACGCACACACACACACACACACGCACACACACACAGGCGCACACACACACATACAAACACACACACACACACACAGGTCAGCACTTCAAAATAAAACAGGAAGTAAACTCTAGCGCCTCCTGCAGGCGGACAAATGCAGATGAAACTCATCCATGAAATTATTATTTACAGTCCGATCAATATTCATACAGAAATCAATATCATTATCAATTTACTATTTTAAACATTTAAAGGGAGCTCAACTATTCAGTCACATCAAATTTACAAAAAAATGACATGGAAGCTACTTTTATGCTAAGCTAAAATAGGACAAGATGTTCCTTTAAAAGAGGAAAGAAAGAAGATAAAATATAATTTAATAATAATAATAATAATAATAAGGTAGGGGGGTTTGGGGTTCAGCATCTTGCTCAAGGATACTTTGACATGTGGCACCAGGAGCCGGGGATTGAACAAACAACCTTCCGATTAGGGAAAGACCCGCTCTGCCTCTGAGCCACAGCCGCCCGCGATGAATGGGAACTCGCACTCCACGCAACTCGGGGCGTGCTGCGGCCGCGTCACGTGCCGTCATAACACGTGCGGACCACAATATGAAAATTTCATGTAAATTAGATCGTAATCGCAGCGCTTACTTCCTGTTTATTATATTATATATTGTCATGTAGGCGAGTTCAGGGCGGGACTGTTATCAAACGTGTGAAGTTTCATTGAGATTGGACCACGTACACTGAAGCTATGAGCACTATCTGTGTTATGGCCATTAGTGGTACGCGGTTCGACGTACAGTCACAAATAGCACAACTTTTAAATCAGCAACATACTTTGACTGTACGGACCAATTTTGAAGCAGATCCGATGAATTCCCTACGAGTAGTTCGTTCAAATACAACGCGAAAATTTCACCGAAAGTGAAAATCTAAATCAAAATGGCTGACTTAGATAAATATTGCGACAAACTACGCAGAAGTTTTTAGCCTAAACGCATTCTTTATGATAGTAGCGCCACCTAGTGGCCAACCCAAAAGCGACGCATAGAATATCCCCATTTTCACCAGGCCTGATAACTTTGCCAAATAAAATTGAGTTTTCATATTTTCAAAAACAATCGGTAAGAGGTTTTTATTCGGGAGCTCCGGCGGTCGCTGCCTCGGTCCCGAATAATAACCTTTTCTAATAATCTATTTGAATGAATCCAGTGTTTATATTTTATTATCTGTCAGTGAACTTACTTGTCAAATTTATGGATCTGTTCTTCGTTGTACGGAAGACCTAAACACAGAAATCAATCCATAAACTAACATATTGATCGTCAGAGAACCATTAAATCCAATCATTGTAACTGAAATGTTCCTACTTTTAAATGAATTAGCATAGCATTGTTAGCATGTTAGTAAATCTGTGAATATGTGAACCAGGTGTTGCAGCTAACTAGCTTTAGCGTAGCATTAGACTAACTCACGTCTCTCTGCTTTGTCCTTCTTGAACTGTTGGTAGATGGCTGTGATGGCGTCCAGCAGCACTTTGATTTTCTCCACACTGCAGAGACACACTGACATTATCTAATATACTGTATCACACTGTATCTGCACACACACACACACAAAACACACACACACACACACACACACACACACACACACACACACAGCCTTACTTCCTGTCCTCGGGGTGCGTCCCCACTTGTTGTGTCCAGCCGTCGGTCAGCAGACCTCCAGGGAGGAATTTACTCTTGATGTCTTGTGTTGTTCGTTCGATGGGCTCCAGCGAGCTGGAGATCTGCAACCACAGTGTAGTAAAATAAACAACAACGCTACAACCACGAACACCAGAACCCAACTGCCTACCAATACCTTAGCAACCACGTTAAACAGCTTGGTAACCATAGTGACCACACATGAATGAACCACGTTAATGTGAAACAGTAACCGGCGAGCACTCACTCTGACAACTTTCTTGTGCATGTCTGAGATCTCGTCGTACTCTGATGACATCATGTTGGCCTGCATCAATACCTCAAACCTGAGGAGAACGGAGGTCCTGTGTTATCAATAAACTCTAGTCAATATTAAATATATATTCTGATATGTTGTTGACATGGTAATATTTGTGTGTGCGGCACTCACAGCTGCTCTGTCTTCTCCAGTATCTGCGTGCAGTAGTTACACAGGTGGAAAACCTCTGACTTCTTGTGGAGGATCTCACTGTAGTCCTCCTTCATCAGCTCTCTGGATCAATACAGCAATCACGTTTCATCATCAACTCTCAATAATCTGCAATACTGCCCCCCACAGGCTAAATACAGCAACTGCACCCATATATTCATCTGTTATACGTATTACTGCCATATTCTGATCTGCCTCATGTTTATAAATGAGGATGGCAGCAAACAGGAAGTGAGCTAAATAAGTAAGCTAATAATGGGGTGGGCCGGTCTCTGTGACTGAGGACAAACATAAACAAAACGGGAATCCAAGCAGACAAAGTCCAGACTCACATTAAACCTCGAACTCCTTTCCGAACCAGTTCCTGATAAACCAGCAGAGACTCAGAAGTTTTCCATAAATGTCCGACGTCACCTGCAAAAGTCTGAAAAACAACAACAGTCAGCGAGGGCGTTCAGATATAAAACCTATAAAAGTGCTCTCCTACAGGTTTTAGAGGCTGTTTGTACTCAGTTCATGAACTGCTAGTCAATGCAGGGAATGGATTAATCAGGAACGTGATCAGTACCTTTGCGTAGCTGGCATCCAGATCCAGATCGTAGCGAGGCTGAACTTTAGGAGGACTGGCTGTGAAGATATAAAATTACGTAAATAAATAATGTGTAAATGTGTAAAATAATGTTTACATGTTTGAAATAATGTGTAAAATAATATGTAAATGTGTAAAATAATGTTTAAATATGTAAAATTATGTGTAAATGTGTAAAATGTTTAAATAATGTGTAAATGTGTAAAATTATGTGTAAATGTGTAAAATGTTTAAATAATGTGTAAATGTGTAAAATTATGTGTAAATGTGTAAAATAATGTGTAAATGTGTAAAATAATGTTTACATGTGTGAAATAATGTGTAAAATAATATGTAAATGTGTAAAATAATGTGTAAATGTGTAAAATAATGTTTACATGTGTGAAATAATGTGTAAAATAATATGTAAATGTGTAAAATAATGTTTAAATATGTAAAATTATGTGTAAATGTGTAAAATGTTTAAATAATGTGTAAAATAATGTTTAAATGTGTAAAATAATGTATAAATGTGTAAAATTATGTGTAAATGTGTAAAATGTTTAAATAATGTGTAAATGTGTAAAATAATGTTTAAATGTGTAAAATAATGTGTAAAATAATATGTAAATGTGTAAAATAATGTTTAAATATGTAAAATTATGTGTAAATGTGTATAATTTTGTTTAAATGTGTGAAATAATGTGTAAAATAATGTGTAAATGTGTAAAATAATGTTTACATGTGTGAAATAATGTGTAAAATAATATGTAAATGTGTAAAATAATGTTTAAATATGTAAAATTATGTGTAAATGTGTAAAATGTTTAAATAATGTGTAAATGTGTAAAATAATGTGTAAATGTGTAAAATTATGTGTAAATGTGTAAAATGTTTAAATAATGTGTAAAATAATGTGTAAATGTGTAAAATTATGTGTAAATGTGTAAAATGTTTAAATAATGTGTAAAATAATGTGTAAAATAATGTTTAAATGTGTAAAATAATGTGTAAATGTGTAAAATAATGTTTAAATGTGTTAAATTATGTGTAAATGTGTAAAATGTTTAAATAATGTGTAAATGTGTAAAATAATGTGTAAATGTGTAAAATAATGTTTAAATGTGTAAAATTATGTGTAAATGTGTATAATGTTTAAATAATGTGTAAAATAATGTTTAAATAATGTTTAAATAATGTGTAAATAATGTTTAAATAATGTTTAAATAATGTGTAAAATAATATGTAAATCTGAAGCTGTAAGCAGAACAGGAGAAAATCACGTACGGTCTTCAAAGATGAGTCCGACGGTGGCGACGGACTCGCGGCTGACGAGCATGATGGGATTGTCTCTGGAGGTTTTGGGGAAGATCTTGGCCTGGCGGTTGGGGTCGAGGACCAGGTGGCGGCCCTCGTACAGTAGCTCCTGGTTGTGCTGCGGGATGCTGGTCCTGCGGGACAGCAGCTCCTGGAACAGGGCCGCCCTGTGGACACAGGAAGGAAAGCAGCTTTCAGATACACAGTCGACAACTCGTCCAACCCAGGTCCAAGTCTGACTCAGACCAAGACTGCCTTTGACCCAGTGCATGCTGGGATGTCTCCGGCCCGTGTACAGCCTCCCAACAACAATAAAGGTAACGATAGACGGTTGTTTCAGGTTCTCTTGTCCCATTAGTGACTCCACTGCTTTATGCATCTATTAAGTCCAAATATTTTCAGAATAAAGCTGAAATATTTTCAGAATAAAGGCAGTGGGTGATGTGAATGATCTGCAATTGCAGGTTTTTACCAATAATCACGTTATTATCAGAGATCTTCGGGTATTGAAATGAAATCAATAACCAATAATCATTATTAGTTGGACAGAAGTCGAACCCAACGAGTTGTGATCCAGAGGAAAGGATGTTTTCTGTCTCACGTGTTGTATTCGTGGATGTAGACGTGGTGCAGCGTTGCCTGCTGCAGACTGAACACATAGACGACCGTTCGGTGCAGGATGTCGTTGGTCTCGGCGAAGAACTGGTCGAAGCCCCAACACTTCTCCTGGTCGGCCTCCAGGATGTTGGCGAGGACCGGAGTCAGGAGGCTCTGAAGACCCCTGAAACACATGAGAGTTGTTAGCCTGTTGAGTGGCTGCGTGGACGACGTCGTCTGTAAAGAAATCAATGCTGTCTTACTTGGACAGACTGCAGGACACCGGCATCTCCGTACTCCACTCGATCTTCCCGTTCTCACACTTCTGGTGGCCGGAGATCGTCCCGGAGGGCTTCTCTGTGATGATTTTATACCTGAGGAACAAACATTCAGTTCACTGTTTCACTGCAGTTTCATTCTCCTGTTTCAGGCTCTCGCTCTTACATTACTTCTTTGTTCCTGCGCGGCCCCTCGAACGGCCTGAACGGGAGGCTGCCGGTGGCCGCATGGTAGAACGTGACCCCGATGCTCCACAGGTCCACCGTGGCTCCGTATTTCTTCTGGTGGTCTTTTCTCAGCACAGCTCGCTCGTACATGTCGGGGTGCTGCACAGGAAACACACGAAGAAGAGTTCAACAGGAAGTTAAAGACATGACCAGGTTGTGATAGTGAGTGCGTGTTTACATCAACCTGTCGCTAACATTACCTTCCCATGCTAACATTACCTTCCCATGCTAACATTACCTCCCCATGCTAACCTCACTTTGTCCTGTCCCCAGGTGTTCTGGGTTTCCTCACCAGGTATTCCTCGGTGCCGTACAGAGACACGAACTGCTCGTCGTCCTCGAGCTCTCTGGCGGCTCCGAAGTCTGTGAGTTTGTAGACGGAGCGTCCGTCCTCTCCGATCACACGCATGATGTTTCCTGGTTTGATGTCCCGGTGAACAATGCCGTACTCTCTCAGGTGGTTCATACCTGCCACTGAAAAAAGCCAATCAGA